CATTTGCAAGTCTGTGAGAAACACTGGTGTCTGTCAGCAAACATAAACAAAAAGCATGCTTCAGAACTGTTTTGAGAAGGTGCTTAAGTTTTGAGCCATGAATTATTACTCTGAATTAGGCTACTACTACTATTACTATTTTGTATCCTGCAATAATCATTTACTCAAACTCACTTTTATGAGATGAAGGGGAAGAAGAAAAAAGAAAATCGGCCAAACATATCGGCCAAAAAAATCGTCATCATATATCGGCCGCCCTGATTTCTAAATATCGGCATCGGCCAGTGAAAAACCCATATCGGTCGACCTCTAGTCAGGCCAATAGGTAGCCTATGATTTGTACTTGCCCTGCCAACATTTTCAGTGGCCCGACCAAACAGTTTTATTTGCAATAACAGCTGTAAATAATACAGCTATAAAGACAAAGTACTATAAATTCATAAATTCATGTACACTGCAGTAGTGTTCAAAAGTTTGAGGTTGGTAAGATTTTTTAATGTTTTTGAAAAAAGTCTCTTATGCTCACCAAGCTGCATTTATTTGATCAAAAACACAGTAAAAACAGTAATATTGTGAAATATTATTAAAAATGTAAATATCTGTTTTTTATATTTTAATATATTTTAAAATCGAATTTATTAGTCATGGCAAAGCTGAATTTTCAGCAGCCATTACTTCAGTCTTCAGTGTCACATGGTCCTTCAGAAATCATTCTAATATGTCGAATTCAAACTCATTAAACAGTTTGTGGAAACAGTGATACTTTTTTTCAGGATGTTTTGATAAATAGACAGTTCAAAGGAACATAATTTATTCAAAATATTTAACAATGTAAAAGTATTTACTAGCACTTTTGATCAATTTAATGCATCCTTGCTGAAATAAAGTTTTAATTTCTTTAAATTAAGTGCATAATGGAATATATTCTTGCAATTTCAACAAAACCCTTATCTATATTAGCCAGCAACATACTATGACCTTATTTGCTAACATATATATTTAAACATTTACAACTGAAAGGTATAAAAAATAAACATCATCAATAAATATAGTATTCAGTTTTGTTGCTGCCGTGTGTTTTGAGTTTGAGCTCCGTCAAGTTAATTCTTTGTCGTCTAATTTTTTATCTTAAAATCAATTTTATACACCATAATTTTCGTTTCTATAACGTGTGAATATATCCCCTATCGTATTCTACAACAAAAACAATCAGAGCGCCTTGTTATCACTAGTTCTATTTTTGACTTCCAGAGTCCGCTATTAGCATATAGCCCACTATTGACAGTCACCACTGATAAGCTACCACTAAATATTGTAGAAACTTAATTTGCTGTAAAGTTGCTTTGCAATGATTTGTATCGTGAAAAGCGCTGTACAAATAAACTTGACTTGACTTGACTTGACAAAGCAGTCTTGATCCAGTAGATCTACTGGACAGTTCCATTATCTGGCCTGAACTCTTCCAGACTGGCCCCATAGGGCATATGTTATCACATAACATCAGTTCAGCTCCAGTAACAGCACTAGCTTGGCCGGATTAGAACTAGTCAGTGTCTATGAAACCAACCATAACTAGTGATTTACGTGAGTTAAACCAACCGTAACTGAGCAGCCATAACTAGTGGAATGGTCTCCACTCAATAGACTAGATCAGGGGTCACCAAACTCTGTCCTGGAGGGCCGGTGTCCTGCAGAGTCGGATTGCATCGGCTGTGGGGATGAAGACGACAACTCCCATGATTCCACACTCTGTCACGGCGGCATCAAACTACGCCTTTGCCTCTTTGTTTATTTTGAATACGCGCCCTCTAGCGGCGAAAATTACATATTGTGCCTTTAATTTCAGAAAAATGTGCGATTAATTTGTTAATTTTTTTAAATCGATTGACAGCTATATACACACACACACACACACACACACACACAGATAGATAGAGATTTTATATTTATTTATTAAATTTAATACATTTGTTTAAAAATGATTTAAAATGTATAAATGTATAAAATAATTTCATAAATAATGATAAAACATTTTTAATCATCCAAAAACTTTTATTTCAAGGTTTAAAATAAAAAATTTTTTTAAAAGAAACATCAATTATTGTCAAATAGCAAATCTTATTTTAAAATGCAAATGCATTAATTTACCTTTTTTGGACTACGTAATACTTGACC